TCACACCCCCCCCCCCCCCCAAATATTGCTGCTCCACATGCAAAGCTCTGCGTTCCCAACTACAGGAGGGACCAGAAGAGATGCACAAGTGCTGACACCTGCAGCAACGAGCTCTATGAAACCTCCAAAACCAGCTGCCCACAGAAAGGCCACCGCTCAGCATAGCACAAGCAAGGGCTGCGGGGAGCAGAGGTGTCAGCTTGGAGCCCCCCAGCCACCCCGGGGGGACTTCTGAAGTTATTCCCCATCCCCACAGCAAACTCAAAAGTGCAATCAGGATGAGCTGTCAGGGCACAAAACTAATGGCAAGTGCTGTTCTCCACAGTGCGGGACAGGTGGAAAAGGGGCTGCCTCCTCCTTCTGTACCTACCACCCAGGCACAGAACAAAAGGCCAGGAAGCCTGGCAGTTCGCACAACACGGCTGCTCCTCTGAGGACATCACCAATTGGTGAGTCGCAATCGTTCTGCTCTGCTTACTGGGAGGACCTTAAACGTGGTCCTCCCAACAGGGTACCCTATGAAACTTTCAAGGGATGAGGACAGGGGCGTTAAGCAATGCAACTCCAACAGCTATAGTGGAGTGCAAAGGTCATTTAAAAGTCTCATACGAGCTGCCAGGCTCAGCCCTCCAAAAAACTTTTCAATACTGAAAAAAACATGGGGGAAAGAGATCGTCCATAAATTACAAGCAGCCTGGTTACTGGGCTCAAAACTACGGCTACCGAGGGCAGAGTTTTGCACTTGTGGTTCTTCAGCCATAAAGTATTTCATGCTGTAACAAAAGGCCTAGCTGATGATTTACTGGCAAACTGCAGTTTCACCAATTAATGTAAACCACAAAACAGTGGAAGCAGCAACTTATGATGTTTGAGGTGATATTTTCAGGCCCGCACACAAGGAATTTAGCCTATAGTTCCCAAAGATCAGTTGAGCAGCTGAAGACAGTTCCTTCCTGTAAATCGACCCCAGAGTTATACCTTCAGGTTCAAGGACTGAACTTCCAGCACAATTTAGAGAAAAGCTTTTCCGACCTAGCAAACCATGCAGAGCAGACCAACAGCTGCGCCATCCTGCAATGTACAGGACCTACTGCAAGGATGCAAATCCATGCGGGGCCAAACGGCTCCCTCAGAGATCTGGTTGGTCTTCCTTTATTTCTAGGACTCTAAGTTTCTTGGGGCAGGTTAAGAATATTTTCCTCTGACTGTGATAAACTGAGGTGACCCAAAATTAATATGTAGCAAAACTACCACCATGATACAGATTTCATTTTAAATGCTACAAATCCAAACAAATCTGCCATTTGGGAAGGAGAATCAACCCTCCCCTCCCTTCCCATCTCCCCTTACCGTTGCAGGTGGTACTTCAGATCTTTTAATGTCTTCTTCTGTTTGTGTATGGAGCTGCTGCAGGCTGTCTGCAAGCTAGTGACTTCTTCAAGTTTCTGCCTATAAACTTTGTGAGTTTCCTGCAGGAGAAAAAGAACAATGCGTAAGAAAGAGCCCTTTGGGCTACAGATTGCATTTGCTCCTTTACCGCCGAAGGAAGCAAACAAACACAGCCCTGTTTTTCTGGGAGACAACAGAAGCCCAGAGTTTTCCCCAGCTCTTCTCCACATTTGTGTCGTTCAGTCTTTCCAATGAGCTTTCCCACTCAGGAGCTCCTTGTTCCTCTCCCACCCTGTAATGAAATCACGCTCCCACATTTGATCTCAATCTGTCCTCGTCAAATGGCTGGCTAAATCACAGATCGAGAACTCTAATTTCACAGCCCAATTACACCTGAAAAAAAGAAGGAAAGGCAATGAGGAACAAGAGGGAAAACACAAAAACAACCATACACAAAACCTCAATGTTTAGGCAAGTCTCCTGGCCACATCTGCCATCTCTATTCCAAGTACACTCAAGCAATCTAATACACCATATTCTGGTTCAAGCGCTTAAACCCTCCCCTCCCACCAGTAGTAGATGCTCCTTGTGAGGAACACTTTTATCGTAGCATGTTTATCCTCTGAAGCCTTAAAGTAGTGCTTGACTGGCTGTAATTAGGACACAAACACCACTCGAAAGCCCATTGAGCAGTGCTGCTCGTTTTTATCTCCCTCTTAGCTTGGGGATGCAAGTGGAGGGCTCAGAAGCATTTACAAGAGGATGGGTGCTGCTGGCGGGGGACGTGCCCTAGGGCTCCCTGTCCCAGACGCGTTCGGCTCTGCAGCTTTACCTCCTCGCGCTCCCCAAAGACGCACTACGCCTCTGGAGAGGCTCAGGAAGTCAGGCCCCTCTTCCTCACCTGGAAGTTCAACGTTAGCCCTGCTTTAAAACCAGTCTCGTCTTCTGATATCGGTAGTATCTCAAAAACCAGAGCTCACAGAGCTAGTACTGAGGACAGAAAGCTTGGTTGAAATGGCAATTTGCACTGCTGCGTTATCTGATGGCGCATCTTGGGTAAAGACTGCAGAAAATTACCACCCGTTTTCCTACTGTCATCCAGAAGCATACACATGGTGTTGAACCCACACAAAACAAATCCTTGCTCTCCTCATTAGGACCTGGCTGTTGGCTGTTCATTATTTACAGGAACAATGCACAACAAGCTCTAGTATCTGATTTAAAAGCCTTAATAACCAAACGAACCATGTGCAGGCACCAGAGCACTCATTATCTTGAGATCGGTTTGGTTTTGCTTAGACCAGCCAGGACTTCAGTGGCTGCACAGTAACTCGCTCTGCTTCACCAGATCTCACGCATTGGGGTCTCTTGACATGCTGGCAAAAAGAGTATAAGAGGCTGTTTGCCAAAATAAATAAATAAATAACGGTCCAAGCGTTTATTGGAAACACAAGCACAGTCTGGAAACACAAAAAGCAGCTGAGAACCGGTACAATTCTACAGCTAGCCCAAAACCTCCAAGATGATGGCTTTAAAATGACACTAGTATTTAGAAGAAGACAAAAGGTGCTAAGGAAGTTATTGATTTGTCAAAAGACGCGTGGCGAACGCGTGCACGAGGGACCCGCCGGCAGCTCAGTCGCGTTAAGCGTAAGCCACAGGCCAAACCCCTTCCCGGAGGCTGGAGCTCACGACGCAGGGGGCCGCACCCGCGGGA